TCTAGCATGTGTGAGGCACTGGGTTTGATCCTCATAAATAAATAAAGGTATTGTGTACACATAAAATAAATAAAGGTATTATGTCCATCTACAACTAAAATGTTTTTTAAATAAATAATAAATAAATAAATGTAAGAGCCAAAATTTAAATAAAAACTCCTAGAACAAAATTCAGAGGTAAATCTTTGTGATGTCAGATTAGGCAATAGTCTCAGGAAATGACATCAATAGCATAAAAACCACAGAAAAACAGGCAAATTGAACCAATCAAAATTAGAAACAGTTGTGCTTTAAAATACACTCCTAACTATGAAAAAAATAACCCATGGAATCGGAGAAAACTCAAGTCTATCTGATAAAGGGCACAAAAAAACTCTTAAGCTCAACAATAAATCTCAATTTTTTAAAATGAGTTAAAGATCTTCGTAGATCTTTTTTCCATATATCGATACAGTGGATGTGTGTAAAATATTATGTAGCAATAAAAAATGAAGTAGGGATCATCCTATGGGTCTTTCAATTTTGTAGCTACTGCATTTTATATTCACTGCAGTGCAAAATGGAGCTGGATAGACTTGGACTCTGTCACTTGTTCCATGAGTGATGTCAGCTAGTTGAGCAGGCATCTCTGAGAATATTTGTCTCATAGTGGGGGTAGAAAGGTGCTGTGAGTTAAGTATTCAGCACATAGAGTACTCCAATATTAAGTCCCTCGTTACTACATTCTTTCCATGGAAGGTGTGATAGATAAAAATTTTCTAAATATGATAAGGCTTCAGGGAAAGATGGCAGTAAGAGCAAACAAAGTCTCATTTCTATTTAGGAAGTATTACCGATAATTTGACTTCATTTGAAAAGTAATTTTAAGTAGGTATGAGTAACGCTTGCTATCTTAACTTTCACTATGTGGTCTCCAGGGCTAAATAGATTAATGAAAAAATTCATATAAATTCATTATATATCCTCCATAGCTTAAAAACCAGRTAGGTTGGGGTAATACAGTGTCCCATGCTATTTAAAGTTTTGAACTGAAAAGTTAAGATAATGTGAGTTGCTTTTATATTTGTAGAAGTACTTAAAGAAAATGTAAATAATATTAAAACAATGTAAAATTTCCAGATAATTAGATGGAAAGAAAAGTATCTAAGGGATGAGGAAGTTGGCTTTTTTTTTTTAAGTACCCCACCAATGGAGAAGCAAAAAATTAACAGAAGGACTCCCTTCTTCTTTTCTTCACTCATTTACAATTTAGTCTGAAACTTGTGGAGGGAAGACATGTTAGACGAGAAGCAGTGACCTGGCATGGGGTGTCTCAGCATGCAGAGTGAGATGGACATGTTGTATGTTGGGAGATGGAAAGGACAGCAGCAGTAGCAGGAGTTCGATTACATGCAGAAGGACRGATCACAGAAGGAAATATATTGAGGATAATGGGAGTTAGGTATCCCACTGTTGAAGATGAGGTTGTAAATATGGGACAGGGAAAAAACTAGAGTAAACCCTGAAAGATTTGGAATTGAGATTATCTATGTGAATTCATAGTTCTCAAAGTACAGTTCCACATGCAGATGTGGATTTCTGTATGTATGTCTTCCCAGCTCTTTCTACTGAGACAACCTGGGAGTAGTGATGTGGTAATAACCTCTGTATACCCAGCTCTGAGTGCCTAAATATTCTTCCCACTAACAGGAGCCAGGACTCAAGAGAAGTGGTTGACAGTGTTGTGGGCCAAACTATGTGCCTTGACCAGACAAACTCCATTTTACCCTGAGACTACATGTCATGTAAGAAATGCTTCTCCCATGAGAAAACTCTGCCTCTGCCATCCTGATCCTGCTTAGCACACCCTACTTAGAAATGGACAGCCTTGGGAAAGTGTCTCCCTTCTTGTACAATATAAAATTGTTCTTTTGGGTTTCCATTTTTCTTAGGCAAAGAACTGACTGTACTGGGTCATTCTGACCCACTCCCCATGTTGCTATGGTTTTGACTTACTGGTGGCTTGCAGTTTTTTGCTAGAAGAGTACACTCTACCCTCTGCAGGGGGTTGAAAATTGCAAAGGCAACTTGCCTGTTGCCCTTCAACCCAACAACAAATAAAGAAAGGTTACATGTCTTGTAACTTCAAGACTGACCCAGTGATTTTTTTCAAATACACCACAACAACTTCAGGACTAGGGCAGGGCAGTACAAGATAGGTCTGAAAGATCCTGATGTGCCAAAAAGAAAGGAAGACTTAAAAACTGATGGGGAGATGTGAAATGAACTCAGCAGACATGTTGAAGGGCCTCCTGCAAACTAATCTTGGGATGATTTGAACATCAAAAATAAATAAAGGGCTGGGGTTGTGGCTCAGCGGTAGAGTGCTCACCTAGCATGTGTGAGGCCCTGGGTTTGATCCTCAGCACCACATAAAAATAAATAAAATAAATGTGTCCAACTACAACTAAAAAATATTTTTAAAAATAGCAATAATAACTGAACAAAACAGGAATCCATAAAAGAATTTTTTAAAAAGGAAGGAGAAAACTCTTCTTTTATAGCTGAGTACCAGCTGATTAATGTGAAAATGACATTAGAAAATCATTTCACAAGCACCATAGCATTACTTGATCCAGTCAAGAAACACTGACTAATGTCAAAAGTACTTTTTGGAAGTTTTTGTTTGTTTTTTGTTGTCTGTTTTGGTACCAGGGATTGAAGTTGGGGCACTTGACCACCGAGCCACATCTCCAGCCTATTTTGTATTTTATTTAGAGAAAGCATCTCACTGAGCTGCTTAGTGCCTCGCTTTTACTGAGGCTGGCTTTGAACTCGAAATCCTCTTGTCTCAGCCTCCTGAGCCTCTGGGATTACAGGCATGTGTCACCATGCCTGGCTAATGTGTGGAAATTTGATGAGGAACAGGCCAATTACAAAGTCTCCGAACATCTCTGCAAAATAGTAATTATGAACAGAAATACTATAATGGAGAAATCTGGCAGAGCCCACTTTATTGAACTTATCACATTTAACCTCACCAATGTTGGGGCAAGTTAAAATCTTGAACCTCCTAATACAATACAGTAAGAAAACACCATCACTTCTGTGAGATTCTTACTAAAATATATAATCACAAGAAAATAGCAGGCAAACCCATCCCTGAGGGATGTTCTTCAAAATAACTGGCTAGTGATCTTCACTCACCTTCATGCTACTCAAACCATTAGCATCAAACTGGCAAACTGATAATCAGAGGTTTTTGCTTCAGATAAAAATACTGCCACATTTTTTTATCTTAATTAAATTTACAAACTTGAACATACACATAAGGATCAAAAAGTAATTGCCCATTCCCTCTATTGAAAATTAGTATTATATTTCTCATCTAACAAAAATTTCTTCCCTTTGACTTGGTAAAGAGAAACAAGAATTTTGTATATTGGAGCAGAGCCCAGGAACTTAACTTGAGGTTATATTCAGGGATGAAAATAATCTCCTTAACAACAAAAACAAAAGGAGAATTTGAACATCTGGCTCTTGCTCATGGATATAGATTGCAAAAGAAAAATAATCACACTACGTTACCAGAACTTGGCAATCATTACTGATTCAGATGTCAGTCTACCCAGTGCTTTCTTAAGCAGAGTCCTCCGTGAAGAAGAAAAGAAGGACTAGGGTTGTGGCCCAGTGGTAGAGTGCTTGCCTGGCATGCRTGAGACACTGGGTTCGATTCTCAGCACCACATAAAAGTAAAATATTGTGTCCTCGTAGAACTAAAAAAAAAAATAAATGTTAAAAAAAAGAAGAAGAAAAGAGAACTCAGAAGATTATGAGTGCCCCATAACTTCCCAGTTTGTCGATTCTATAATAAACCTGTGTGGCACTAGTAATGTGTCTATGTCCACCCTCCACCTCCACCCCCAGCATATTAGTTGATGACAAGGAAAGGAAATATTCCACTCTGTCTGTGTGCCCTGGGAGCAACAAAACCCAACTGCCTCTCTTCCCAGAGTGAGAACAGTCCCTCAGGGATCTTGGGAAGGGTGAAGTCAGTGGGAGAAAGAAATTGGTGCCCAAAGTGGACAGGGTTGCCATAGTGTCCTTGGTGGAAGGACATATTTTGTATACATGTCAGGGGGGATATTTGTGTGTAAAATATATACTTACATGTCACAAACCCACATGACCATTTACTCAGTTTCTCAAACTGGGTGGTGAGGGGATTTGAAAAAAAGAAAAACATACAAAAGTAGAAAAAAGCAGGACCTGGTGGATCAGCCAAACTTCTCATGGAAGAAGACTGACTATGAGCAGGTCCAGCATGTTTATTATATAGGTTTAAACATTAAAAGGAWTTGTTGTGAGAAAGCTTCCTTAAGATAAACAAAACTGAAGTCGTGSTCAAAACAGCTCAATTAGAGCATATCAGCTTGTACCCATAACTCTACATCTGGGCAGCTGGCATTTCAACTCAAGATTATGAACTAATAAATTCTGTGGCTAGCACAGAATCCCCCCTTTTTAAAAATTTACTTATTTATTCTAATTAGGTATATATGACAGAATGCATTTTGATTCATTGTACACAATTGCAGCACAAATTTTCATGTCTCTGGTTGTACACAAAGTAGAGTCACACCATATGGGCAGTCATACATATTCTTAGAGTAATGATTTCCATCTCATTCCACCATATTTCCTGCCCCCATGCCCCCTCCCCTCCCAGAATCCCCCTTTTAACAGTGTAATACCATCAACTGGGTAGTTTTGGATCGGCACCTTTGCACTGAGAAATTCCCAAGGGAGGTGTCACCTCTGTCTCTGGGCAACTCAAAGCAATGATTGATTCATTGCTCCCGACACACAAGAGAAACTGAGTGATGGAGAAAAGATATATGTACATTTCATTCTTGGAAATCTAATATTATAAATGCATTTCAGACAACCAAGTAACAGTATCTCCTGGCAACATTCTAGAATCTTGAGGGTGAGTGGAAAGGATTATGATGCATGAAAAGATCCAAGTTGGAATGGTGTCTGACACCAGTGACAATCAGTTGGCAGCTATTGAAAGGGGGAAGAGTTATAAATTATTTAAAACGAACAAGAAGAGCCGGCATAACAGGCTTGGAGAAATGAAGTTAAAAGCATTAGCCGGAGCTCCTGAATAGAAGTGAAAGTCCAACGTGGTTCTATTAAAATGACTTCTCATCAGTCATTCCCTGCAGATGACTTCGGTATCTACTATGTCCTGTGAGCCTCTATTTATTACAGCTTTCTAGATAAGCTCAGGTAGAGGGAAGAGCTGTGTTCAAAGGAGTGAAGGGATTAGAAAGGGTTAGATTAGAAAGGGTTCCCCCGGGTTTGACCCAGAAGTAAAGGAAGATATTATCTAACATCTAGGCAATCAATACATGCACTTCTAAAGAGTGACAGTCCAGGACCTCTGTGACATTAGTAAATAAAGTGAAAATGGCCATTTGTGTAACATTGGGCACTTTTCAAATGGGCATGACTGTGAGTACAGGTATTGAGGTGATGTAGCTCTTTCTTGGGGCTCTAATATCAAACAGAGTATGGGGACAGGGGAGCCACTGAATTTCATCCCCAGCTCATTATTTCTGTTTTATAAATGAAAAGTAGGCATAGGCCTCCCAGACCATATAGCTAGTAGGTAGCATAGTCAGAATTTCAACTCAGACCTACTTTTCAACAAAGTCTATCCTTTTTCTTTCTCCTGCTCTCCTTTTCTCTGTGTCTCTATGTGTAGATATCTTATATATAGACATATATATATATATACTCACATATGTATGTGTTTTTAATATATGTATATATTTTCCTACATACCTCTCTACCCCTCCCTTGGTGTATTACTATGGGCAAATGACTAAACCACTTAAAACTCTGTATCTCATCTGTAATATTTTGGACTGATTTTAAAAGAACTGTTCCTACCTCATAWAATTGTTGCAAAAGTTTAATGTGAAAATGCATGTTAAAAAGGACTAGGGTTGTGGATCAGCAGTAGAGCACTTGCCTGGCATGTATGAGGCACTGGTTTTAATTCTCAGCACCACATATAAATAAATAAATAAAATAAAGGTCCATTGACAACTAAATGTGTGTGTGTGTGTGTGTGTGTGTGNGAGAGAGAGAGAGAGAGAGAGAGAGAGAGAGAGAGAGAGAGAGAGAATGCATGTGAAGTGCTTAATGTACTGCCAAGCTAAATACATTATAGCTGTTGTTATTATTAACTGTTACCTATTGTTATCATTACTACTTGTAATAATTTACTTGCCCAGGAGAAATGGCAAAAATTTGGATTTTAGAAGGAAAATTTGCACTTTAGACTAACCAACTGAACAGTTCAGTTATCTTGGTTGAATTTTAGGAAGAAAGTTTTTTATCTATTGTCTTGTTTGGCTTCAAGCACTTGGTCAGAGTTCTGTTCTACAGAATTCAATTTTAGACTTCAATTTCAAATCCTTCTGTCCTTGGTAGGGAACATGTTTGAGGGAAGTCTTACTAAGGACTCTTATTTCRTGAGTCAAAAGGGGCTTATTGTCATTTGCACGTATTTTGTTCCCTCAAAACGCTTTCCTTCTTTCCACGTGGCACCAACACAGTGCAGAGTGCACAGACTATTATGACTCCCTTCCAGTTAACGAGGCGGATGAGAACCAGCCCCACTCCCAGGGCGTGACTGGCCTGCGGAACTTGGGCAACACGTGCTACATGAATGCCATCTTGCAGTGTCTCTGCAGCATCTCGCCGCTGGTGGAGTACTTCCTCTCTGGAAAGTACATGACAGCGCTTCAGAAGTAAGACCCTGTGTGTTCCCTGCAGTCAGTCCCAGCCCCAACCCCCCAGGAGAGGTTAGGGATGGAACCCTCCGGAATCCCTGCAAAGGGTTAAACAGGCCTCTCGAGGCTGTAGTTCCCCAGACAACAGATCTAGGGTGAGTAAAGTGGGATGGGCAACCAAAAAATGAATGATGTTCTATTTTTGGACTGATTCCCCATGCTTGAGTGATTAGGTGCCTCTTTTCATTAAATCAGCCAGAAACATGCCCCTTCCTTCTTCCAAGGGATTGCAGTGAGGTTGCCACTGCTTTTGCATACCTGATGACAGACATGTGGCTCGGAGACTCAGACTGTGTCTCTCCAGAAGTATTTCGGTCAGCTCTTGGCAATCTCTACCCAGCGTTTATGAAAAAGACACAACAAGATGCTCAGGAATTCTTGATTTATGTCCTAAATGAACTTCATGAAGCTCTGAAAAAGGTAAGTAGGATTTATGGTCTTAGGATAAGCCTGCAGTCTCATCAGCAACTTCTGTTTTTCTTTCTTTCATTTATTTAGTCAATGTTGCATGTTCCATGCCAAGTACTATTCTAGGTGCTAGGGTACTTGAATGTACAAATGTATTCACCAAATTTCAGCAGAATCACCTGGGGAGATGGGATTCTACAGCACTTACTTGGTGTTATTTAGTTAGACTGAGAAAGGTCTCTTGGCATTTCCAATGATTGGCCAGATGTGGAACTACTAATCTAGTTTCCTTTGCAAATAAAAGCTGCATGAACTAGTTTTTAAAAGTGGAAATCATATTTTTTATTAAAAAATAAATTCCTAATGAGAAATAATATAAAACTTTACAACCTAAATGTTTGTGATATCTACAAATCCATGAAAATATCAGGCTTTACGTTACATTAAGGGACAGACCCATGTACTAAACATGTCCAAACTGAACATGCTGAACCTGAGTTCTTCGTTGGATTGGGACATACATTTGATTAAACTTGAAATCACCCATTTCTCTGAAGTTCTGCCTTTGGTCCTGGTCTGAGACCCATGCTTTCTGAAGATATGTGTTTGACATATGGAAATGGTAGGAGACCCTCAATGTTACACAAAATTACATAGAAGAGGATGTGAGGGGAAAGGGGGGGGGGACAAGGGAGAGAATGAAAAAAAAAGATATGTGTTTGACTTGATGCAGTCTCCTTATGATAATGTTCTTTTGTTTTTTTTTTTTTTAATTTATTTATTTATTTATTTTTTGGCAGACACAACGTCTTTGTATGTGGTGYTGAGGATCGAACTCAGGTCGCACGCATGCCAGGCGAGCGCGCTACCGCTTGAGCCACATCCCCAGCCCCGATAATGTTCCCTTGTCCATACCTAACATCCAGGAAATCATTAGCATTAGGATTAAGATCACAAACTGGAGCCACTAATCATAATCTTCAGTTCCATTTTTCATTGTCAGTAATAACAAGCTAGCCACAGAGCACTGTTTTTTAGTCAGAGGGGAAGGTGTTGTTCAGTAGCAATCACGCATGTTCTCATCTGCTGCCAATCTGAAATAAATAGCATTCTGGTTCCCTGGGCCAAACTAGAAATTAGGGGAAATGAGGGTATTTGGTTTCTGTCAGAGTGGAAGACCTTGGCAGCAAACAAGCATGAGGAAAGCAGCAAGCACCTGCAGGATGGCAAGCGCAGCTCCCACCAGAGCTGGCTGTGGGAGCTGATCCAGCTCCAAGGGCAGTTTACGGAGGCCCTGAAGCCCCTGAAAATTCTGGAAATGCTGTTTCCAGTATGAGCTAGATGCCAACCAGGCCACAACACTTGTTATTTCAGGCTGCCTTGGAAATTTAAGATTTGCATTTGTGTGTGTGTGTGAAAAATAAGTAGAACTTTGTTTCCATTCTTTTGCTATTAACAGAAAACTGGAGAAAGCACCAATGTTTTGTATCTACCCTGAGATCAAAACCACTAACCACAAAGGGGAAGATAAAAGCACATTTCCCACACCCATTCAGCGGACAAAGCTATCAGGGACTGTGTATGTGGCCCAATCAAGATGAGGGCCAAGAAATCAGACTTTATATCAGAAATCGTGATATAAAGTGGAACAGAACCTACACTAAGGACCAAGTGTGCCTATATTTGACACAGGAACAGACGGCTACTTATAAAAAAAAAAAAAGTAGTTTGGGGCACAACGTTCATTCATTAATTTACTTATTTATAAGTGTGTTTTCTGTAACTTAAAGCAGAAAAGAGTAGGGAACATTAGCTGAAGAGACTGGAAAGAAGAAAGATTATATTCCTTCATTTAACCTCTAGATCAGCTTTCATTGCCTAAGGTTAGTTAAGTAGTTGACTTACCCCTTTTCCAGGAAAAACTAGCTTCAGATTCCTCTATCTCAGTCGGAGGCTGTCAGATTGGGGGCCTGGACTTGCATTTACTAGTTGGGGTGTCCTCAGTTTCAGCTTTACCAAATAAGGGAAATAACTGAATCATCAAAAACCACAAATGACATACACTCTCAAGGAAGGCCTTGTTCTACTTATTGTCTGAATCCAAAATTAAGTGGTTTCTAATGGGAATATATCATTCTGATAGGAAAATGTCATTCTATTAAAATATGTTTTGAGACATTATTACGCTATATACATTGAAGATTTCACTATTGGAGTGACTCTGCACCACATGCAGCCAGAGGAATGAGAATTTGTGCTCCATTTGTGGACAATGTGTCAAAATGTGTTCTACTGACATGTATAACTAATTAGAATTAAATAAATAAATAAATACATAAAATAAAACTGTTTTTTGATAACCAATAGTTGATATGAGGGTTTATCCTTGATTCAGTACCACCGAAGACGATCACATGAGAAAGGATCTGCTCAGAGATGCTGCAGGAAGGTTATTGCCAATGAGACATCTATCATCACACGGCTGTTTGAAGGGCAGCTCAATTACGGCATCATATGTTTGAAGTGTGAGAACTGCACCTACAAGAACGAAGTCTTCACTGTCCTCTCCCTCCCCATTCCATCTGAATATGAATGTTCCCTTCAGGTAGGCAGCCCCTACTATTAAATGCTTTTTCTTTTCTTATGACAGAGTCTTGCTGCACTACCCAGGCTGGCCTCCGAACTCCTGGGCTCCAGTGATCCACCTGCCTCCACGTCCTGAGTAGCTGGGACTACTGTCCCACACCACTGTGCCGGTCTACTACTGGATACTTCTGTCCTGCTCTACCCTCAGCCCCAGATGTTCTCAGGGTTATTTTCTACATTTTTCAGTATGAGAAGGCAGCTTTACAACTTAAGACATAAAGGAAGGAGAGAAGTTCATGATAATAGCATTTTTTGGAAAAGCAACTTATTAGCCAAAAGTACTATGGATTCAGGGGTTTTTTTTGTTTTGTTTTATTGGTATCAGGGATAGGACCCAGGGGCTCTATACCACTAAGCCATTACCCCAGCTGTTTTTACATTTTATTTTGAGACTGAGTCTTGCTAAGGGTTTCCCTAAGTTGCTGAGGTTGGCTTTGAACTTGTAAYCCTCCTGCTTCAGCCTCCCCAGTCACTGGGATTATAGGCATATGCCACCATGACCTGGCAGTGGTTGTATTTCTAAACATACTTACTTGAAAAGCAGTCTCACTGTAAAATTGAAAAGTTAGGTGGGATTTTTACTCTATAGAGATGGTCTGGCATATAGGGAATTTATCATTTCAAATGCAAAAACATTTCGACCCGCCTTCACCCCAGAGTTCTATAGTTTCAAACCGGGAACTAAATATTAATAAGATTCTGACTGTAGTCTTGAGCTCTTATATTTTGGACTAAAGCTGTGAAATGTGTTTGGAAGAGAGAGTGGAATCGTATGCCTTAATTTGGTTCTCTAGTTTTCTTCACCACAGTGCCAAAAGTTAACGCATAAGCAGGAATGTAGGGTAGAGCAGTGTAGGGCTGCAGGGGCCTGGGGATCAGGAAGGGACAGTAGATGTCAGAAGTAGTAAGTTAGGAGCATAATAGGAAGTAGGGAGCAATAATCTTCCTTGCAGAATTATATATGGATTTGTATTTTCTCTCTAAATAATGAAAGCACATCTGCTGCTCAGTTTTTCATTTTATTTATTTTCTTAGTCATGGGGATTGAACCCAAGGGTGATCCACTACTCAGCTATACTCTCAGCCCTTTTTATTTTTATTTTGAGACGGTCTTGCTGGATTTCTGAGGCTGATCTCAAACCTGAGATCCTCCTGCCTCAGCCTCCCAAGTCCATGTGCCACCACAACTGACTACTGAAAGTTTTCACATATCAGAATGAGATAACAGAATCCTGTTACTTATTCAGGACTGGTTTTTGTTCTCAGATGAAACTGAAAGGGTAAAGTTTCTAAGCTGGAAAGCTTGAATGTAAAAGATTAGGTATTATTAAGTTCCTCTGTTACACCCAGAATCTGGAATTCCTGAGATAGTTAAAACAAAGCCCTACTGGCCATTTAGCCTAGGGCCCTGTGCAGTTTGTCACAGGGCCCGAACCAATCAGTTTGAATGTGTAACCCGCTTACGAATGACCAATCACCCCCGCCCGACCTGTTCCCACCAATGAATGTGCCAATCATGCCTCAGAGTTGTTGTTCAATTTTCCTGCGCCTCATGATGATTTGTTCTGATGTATGCAAAGCCCACCACCCTCTCCAAAAAGTGTACTTAAGCTCTGCTTGACCTTTGCTCTGGGCTCTGGGCTGCTCTCCCTTCTTGAGTGAGCACGGAGCCCCAGCGCGCTGGAATGGATCCCCAATAAATCCCCTTTTGCCAATTGCATGGAGTAAGTCTCTTGTGTGGTCTCTCCCTCCGACGTTCCGCCAGACCCTCCTTACAAAACAACTAAAGATTGGTTGAAAGAAATTCCAAACACTCTTCAAGTGAGGGTGCTGGCTGTTCTGCTGAAAACAAAATATATGCTCATCTTCCTCTTTAGGTTAACAGTGTGTGGAACCAGGGCCCTGGCCACAGTGAGAGTATCTCCTGTGGATATGGGGTCTAATTTATCTCTGCCCTAATGTCTTTAAGGGCCACCACACCTGAACCCTCAGATATGGCCCTTTTTCAGTCATCAGGCCATTTTAGTGGTGAGAAGAATGTGAAACTATAGTCTATATGATTCTGAAATAAACCATCAATGTTAAGATGCTGATTCATAGATAATAAGTGAGATGAGCAATCAATCCATCTCAGTAACTAAGTGAGAAAGAGGCAGCTCTTCAGTTGGGTAGATTTTACAGCTGTCCGGGCTGCAGTGTGTGACACTGATATCTCCTGGTTTGCTGACTTTGAGAAAAGTTCTAATATAGACAGAGACCCCAGGATGCAGTTTATCCAGTTTGGTCACCAAATGCTTTTTCTTTCTCAACAGGACTGTCTCCAGTGTTTTTTTCAACAAGACACATTGACCTGGAACAACCAAATTCATTGCTCCTTTTGTGAAACCAAGCAGGAAACAGCTGTGAGGGCCAGTATTTCCAAAGCACCAAAAATAATTATTTTTCACTTAAAAAGGTATGAATTTTGACATTTAATGGGCAGATTTATTTTTTATACTAGGAATTGAACCCAGGGTCACTTTATCACTGAGAACACATCCTCAGTGTTTTTTTTGTTTTTTTTGTTTTTTTAAATTTTGAGACAGGGTCTCACTAAGTTGCTTAGAGCTTCCCTAAATTGCTGAGGCTGGCTTTGAACTTGTGGTCCTCCTGCCTCAGGCTGTCCATTCTCTGGGATTATAGGTGTGTCCCACCAAGCCTGGCTTCTGGTCAGATACTTTTGAAGAACTTTATTGAGATGTAATTCACATGACAACAATTCACCCATTTAAAAATGTACAATCCAATAGAATCTGGTATATTACATTGTTAATTTTAAAAATTGTGGTAATATATACATAATGTAAAATTTTCCATTATGGCAATTTAAGTGTGCAATTTTTTAGCATTAATTACATTCACAATGTTGTAAAATTATCTCCACTTTTCATTCTCCTAAACAAACTCTAACCATTAAGCAATAACTCTACACCCTCCCTCTCCTGGTCCTCTGTAACCCTAGTCAACTTCTGCTTCTATAACTTTGCCTTTTCTAGGTACCTCATATAAACAGTGTTTGTGTTTTTGTCTGGCATATTCACTTTGTGTAATGCTTTCAAGGTTTATCCGTATGGCAGCATGTACCAGAATCTCCTTCCTAGTATAATATTTATAATATAAAATAACGTATTTACAATATTTACATATTTACTATATTTACAATGTTATACTCAATTTCAATGCATATATATTCCATAGCTTGTTCATCTATCATGTGATGATGGACAGACATTTGAGTTGTTTCCACCTTTTAGCTTTTTTTTTTTTTTTTTGGTACTGGGGATTGAACCCAAGGGTATTCGACCACTGAACCACATCCCCAACCTTATTTTATTTGGAGACAGGATCTCACTGAGTTGCTTAGTGCCTCGCTGTTGCTGAGGCTGGCTTTGAACTAGTGATGCTCTTGTCTCAGCTTCCCAAAATGCTGGAATCACAGTCGTGCGCCACCACACCCACATACTTTTAAGCTATCTTGAATTGCCACAAKGAACACTGGTATAAAAAAATATCTGTTTGACACCTCTTGATTWAATTATGGACTTGTCTAATTGTTGTAGTTCTGTCACTTTGGGGTTTAAAAAAATGAAGCTGCATTAATAAGAGTAGAAACATTTTAAAGTGATACAAATCCTTGGTGAATTAAACCTTTTATCATTATGAATCTCTTGTCTGATTTCATGACTATCCAAACTTTGACTCATGCTTTTATTGTTTTTTATTTATTTATTTATTTAGTTTTAGATGGATACAACATCCTCATTTTATTTATTTTTATGTGGTGCTGAGGTTCAAACCTAGGGCCTCATGTGTGCGAGGCAAATACTCCACCACTGAGCTACAACCCCAGATCTCATACTTTTATCTTATACCCAGAGCGAGCGAGAGAGAGAGAGAGAGAGAGAGAGAGAGAGAGAGAGAGAGAGAGAGAATTTTTAATATTTATTTTTTAGTTCTCGGTGGACACAACATCTTTGT